AAAATCTTAGATGGAGATAATTGATCTGACATTGGTAGAATCTTATAGATGACACTCAATACTTGGAGCCAATACTTCCCAATAAGTTTGCACTCCCACCAGATGTGTTCCATATTTGCTCCCTTCTCACCACATCTCCAACATTCATATACACCATGTTTCTTCGATCTGGGGTATTGTACCATCTAGTAATTCTTTTAAAGAAGATAATTTTCCTAGCAGTGCTCATCTGAGCTTTCATTCCCATTTTGAACACAAATGACCAGTCATTGCCAGTCAATTGGATGTTCAATCCTAGCATCAATTTCAACTGAAATGAGGGTACTATTGTATCCATAGAACCTCTCTGAATTAGATTATAGATACTTGACAAATATCGTTTTTTATCTATCCCGGTACCACAGAGTAACTCAAACTCTGTTTTATCTCTTGTCTGCCAGTATGGTAACACTTTTTGGTTTAAATTTTTTTTTACATAAACCATACCCATTTTATCTATAAATGTTGTCATATTATCGCAACTAGGGAACTCTCTTAGCCTAGTGGGTATATCATCTATTATTAAACTTGTTACTGGCGGGTCTGCTTCTCCCATTAATGTTCTCAGTATTTTGTGGCTCAACCCATGCTGAAACTCAAAATTTGATGCAATAGGAAAAAATACTAATAATCCCGGAGATAGCCTCCAACTATCTTTAAGCCTTCTCTGGGTCTGTATTATATGATTTATAATTGGGTGATTGGAAGGAGATAATAAATTTATTTTACAGTTCTGCCAGGGTAAGGTCTCCAATTTAACCTTTATAAAATCTTGTTCTAAATCATACCAAGGCTTTTTTTTGTCTATAGCTGTCCATTCTTTAATTTGCGCACAAGTACCGCAAAATAATATTTATAAATATGTGGGAGGCCCAAGCCTCTTTTCTCAACTGATACTGTCAATGTATTATACGCGATACGTGGATGGTTATTATTCCATATAAATGAAAGCAATATAGATCGTACTCTACCGAAGAAAGCTCTCAGCAACAAAATAGGCAATGTCTGGAATAAGTATAATACCTTAGGGATTATCATCATTTTTATAATGTTGACTCTCCCTATCAATGAAAAAAAGGGCTGGTTCCAATTTTTAAAATCTTCTTCAATTTGTCTTAATAATTTTCCATAATTTAGTTTAAATAGATCTTTTAAATAGGCTGGCAGATGTATTCCTAAGTATATTATGCTAGAGTCTGTCCACTTATACCTATAGAGCTTCTGTTCTTTTCTCCTTAATTCCTATACTTATCCCTACTCCCAATATTTCAGATTTGTCTGCGTTTACCTTCAAATTAGATAGAGTACCAAATTTCTCCAATTCTTCCTGAACAAAAGGAAGTGTATCTTGAGGTTCTGTAAGAGTAAATAAAACATTGTCCGCAAAAGCGGTTACTTTAACCTCTCCTCCCTTATACTTATATCCTTTAATATCGGTGTTTCTTCATATAGCTTCTAAGAAAGGTTAAAATGATAAAACAAAAAGAAGAGGGGACAACGGACATCCTTGACGGGTACCGTTGTTAATAAAAAAGGGATTTGAAAGTAAACCATTAATCCGAACCATGGCTGAAGAGCCTTTATAAAGTATCTGTATCCAATTACAGAATCTCAGACCAAGCCCCCATGCCTCTAACATTGCCAGCAGATAGGACTGATCCACCCTGTCAAAAGCCTTCTCAGCATCAACTGTTAACAAAACTGTAGGGCTTTTAAATACTATAGCTCCATGTAATACATTCAAGATTTTGGTAGTATTGTCTCTGAATTCACGGCCGGAGACAAAGCCAGCTTGATCAGGGTGGATCAGTCCAGGTATAAGGGGCTTAAGTCTGTTTGCCAGAAGTTTTGCAAATATTTTTAAATCAAGATTAATAAGAGAAATCAGTCTATACCTGCTGCTTAATTCTGGATCTTTTCCATCTTTATATATCACAGCAATTACAGCTTTCAACAGTGAAGGTGGAATGTCCATAGTTGACGACAGTCCATTAAAGGATCTAAGGAAGTGTGGAGCAAAAATGTTTTGGAATTGTTTAAAGTAGCATGCCAATAATCCATCAGGCCCAGGACTTTTATTAAGTGATATTGCCTGAATCGCCGTCGAGAGTTCCTCCAGGGAGAACATTTCCTCCATTTGAACTGCTATTTCTTTTGAAATTTTTTTTGGTATATTTTTGGATAGATATTGCGTTCTATCATAAGGGGTCTTTTCTGGGGGATTTAAATTGTAGAGATCTTTATAATAATTACTAAAAGTATTTGCTCTTTCCTCAGTGGTATTACATAATGTTCGCTGTTTATCTTTAATTTTAGATATGTAAGTTTTTTGCAATTTAGCTTTGAGTGTTTTAGCTAAGAATTTCCCACTTTTATCCCCGTATGTATACAATGTACTTTGAGTCAACTGGACCGCTCTTTGGCCTTCATAGTTCAATAATGCCCTTAACTTTGATCTAACTACAATTAAGCGTTTAAGATTCTCCTCTGTTGCAGTTTGCTTATGGGTAGACTCCATTGCCTCTAATGTTTTCGTCAACCTTTCTATTTCCTCAGCACGTTCTTTTTTACATCTAGCTCCCCACTTAATTAGAACCCCACCCACCCCCTGGATCACACACTTATGAGCTTCCCATACCCACATATCATTAATATCATCTGTACAGTTATCTAAGAAGTATTGAGCTATTGTTTCTGTTAAATCCTTGATGACCCTTGGGTCATCCAGGAGAGACTTATTTAGTCTCTAGATGTTTTTATGCTTCATGTCACCTTGCAGTTCGATATCTAAAAATAATGGGGGCATTGTCCGACCATGTAATATTCCCTATTTTTACTCCTTTAACTAAATGTAGATATCTATTGTAACGGCACCCCCAGATATAAAAGGGGTTAAACCACTGTTTAGTAGATCTTCCCTTCCAGAGACACAGGCACAGCTACTGCAGAACACCAATCCGCCGAACAGGAAACCATATGAATGCCGTAAACAGCCGAATAGGAAAAACCATATGAATAGGTTTACACTCCTAGCAGTCGAACTGGAACAGCATACAATAAATCCCCCCAAGAACGAGACAAGGCTCTGTTGTGAGGGTCAAGCAGTAACAGTCAGAGCTGTGGGTTTATTGTTCTTATATACACATTAGTACCACCCACAGGGTTTTGGAAAACAACCAATAAACACATACAATACACTCAGACACTTCCACACAAAATCCTCCCCTCTGCCTGTGATACAATTACCTTACACAATGGGTAATGTAATTATCACCAGCAGAGAAATACAGTTTTTCCACATTATTCATAACTTTAAAAGTATGCATCACATTCACATAAAACTTACATTTTAAGAATCAGCATACTCCAAATACATCAAAATCATACAAATTGGTCCAGTGGTTCAAAAGATAGATCGAAGTCCTTTGTAACCAAATGAAGCATGACTTTTTTGCCCAAAACCAGTTCCACAGAGTCTTCTATCCTGGAGATAATTAGGAAGTAATCCAATTATCTCCAAGGACAGAGGCAAAACTCCATTGAACACATGGCAGCAAAAGACAATAAAATACATAATATACAAAAGGTTACATTTATTACATAAAATACAGACATGCAACATATCCCCAGATAGCTTAGGTCTGAGCACACATTATTACTGAATGGCGCTCAGACCACACACATACAGTTCAATTCCCATGGAGCCAAAGTCTTTCCCATAGTCTTTCATTATACGAATGGGCTCCATGGCATAGCTATCTGGGGTATCACCGCTCAAACAGGGCAAGCACCGAATGACCCGGCTTTCAAGCGTTTCAACATGGGGCCATAGTCTAAAGGCAGCAGGCGGGCAACCAGGCTCCTCCAATGCACAGTGGCGAGATTGGTCTCGTCACATCTATGATTTACAAAAAACATATCTATCCTTGAATAACTATCTGCAGGTGTTGAATAAAAGGCGTAGTCCCTCTCTCCCTGATGAAAGATCCGCCAACAGTCTATCAATTGATAAGAATGTAATGTTTTTAGTACTAACGACCTCTGAATAATTTGTGTTTCTCTAGTCTTTGAGGAGCTATCTACAGCATAATCCAGCACTATATTACAATCTCCACCAACTAGCAAGACCCCTTCCTTAAAATCCTCCAATTTCCTCAGGCAAGTTCTCAAAAATGATGCCTGATTAACATTGGGTACATAAATATTTACAAACGTAATCAATTGGCCATTAACCTTCCCTTTAAAAAAAATATATCTTCCTCCTCGATCCAATTTACTATCTAGTTGGATAAAATTCAAGTCAGAATTTGTAAAAATTGCCACTCCATATTTACTTTACAAACAATTACTATAGAAGGTCTGCTTGAATTTGTTCATATTAAGTCTAGGCTGAAAGGTATTTTTATAATGAGTTTCCTGAATAAATACGATATCTTTTTTCTGTCTTTCTAATTCCTGTACCAGGACAGATCGCTTCCTAGGGGAGTTCAACCCCTTAAAATTTAAAGACATAAAGCTAATTAGTACCATAGTTCCAAAAAAATAATTCCACCTATCTGGTTACCTAGCAAATTACAACTTTCCCAATGTTGAAGCAGAGAGCACACTAAAAAAAAAGTAATTAAAGAATAAACAAAACAGCAAAAAAAAAAAAGAATAAAGGAAGAAGGAAAAAATAAGAGAAAAAAATAATAAAAATAAATTAAAAATAAAAAAAAATAAAAATGTAATTTATATTCTTCTTATAATTATTACTTCCATAATAGGATAAGATGCCACCCTTGTGGGAGACCCATTTGTGCTCACGAGACATATTGGCATCTTACTAAGGGGGGAGGAAGGGAGAGAAAAAAAGTTGAGAGTGGGGTTTATAAACCATTTTGTCAGTGGACTTATATAAGAGCTCTAATATTTCTAGTACATTGGCTCCTGCAAGATCACATCGCAAGGCCTTCTAGTACTTATAGAGCTATCAGTCCCTCAGCAATTTTCTTATTTTTAGTTTTAGTTTTGGTTTGCCATTTGGGGTTTTGAAATTCTTGTGCTAGAGAGATGCCTGAAAGGCCTGTCCAATCTTCAATCTCAATAGGGGGAAGCCCCAAGGCTTGTAGGAACTCTGGTATATCCACCGCCATGACGTCATCGTAGGTCATCTCCACAAAAACCGGACACCAAGCCAGTTCCGTGTTTCTAAACACCAAAACGCAATGATTACCATGGCAACAACCTGTGCAAGAAAGGGAAATTCATCCATTCTAAACATACAATGTCACAGAGAGTACCTCCATTAAAAACAATTACTTTAGGCTGTGTGGGCTGAATAGCAAGAGGCAGGTAAGAAATTATACCTTTAGATTATTGGTGTATGCTCCCCCCCCCAAAAAAAGCTGTGCCTTTTTGTAACTTTTTTCCACCTCTGTACAGGGTTTTACTTCCCCCAACTTTCCGTATAGCTCTGTCTTTTTGACTGGATTGGTATACCAGCAGCAACTTTGCTTGTGGTTCACAACTGGATTAATGTTTAAGTACCTTTTGGGGGGGGGGGGCATACACTGGGTCAAAGCTCCGCCCCCTCCCTCATCCCATGACGAGCGGGTCTAATGCGCATGTGCATGTGCATTAGACCTCCCCATAGGAAAGCATTGAAACAATGCTTTCCTATGGGGAAAAATCTGACGCTGGACGTTGAATCTAACGCTGAATCTAAAGCGTCCGGACCAAAAGTCTGTTACGATTCCGGGAGGCACCACCAGTGGCTGTCTGGTAGACAGCCACTGAGGGCAGACTTAGAGCTATAATATAAACATTGCAGTTCTCTGGAACTGCAATGTTTTACATTGCAGCACAAGGTGCAAAAGTGACAGAGCACCCAGACTACTTCAATGAGCTGAAGTGGTCTGGGTGCTTACAGTGTCCCTTTAAATGACCATTAAAGTCACTCAGGCTACTTCATTTTAATGAAGTGGTCTGGGTGCAGTGGTCCTGTCCTTGTAACCCTGCAATGTAAGATGTTTCACTTTTATGAAACTGCAATGTTTAGCCTTGCTAAGTTCACTTTTAGTGGATGTTATACTGACAGCCAGTAGAGCTGCTTCTGCTGCACTTACAGAGTAAAACTCAGTCATGTGACCTGGAAGAACTCACAGGAAAGCATTGATTTATTGCTTTCCTATGGGGAAGCTTGGATATGCCCAAGGCACTCGACGCACATGTGCAGCAGGACCCCAACGCTCCTCCATGAGGAAGTTGCATTGGACCACGCCAAAGGAGTCCATGACTCCTTTGTGATTTTGTGGGAGGGGGAGAGGTAAGCAACACAGAGGGAGCCTCTGGGCCGGATAAAGATAAGTAAAAAACCTTTATTTTATTATTTTATGCGGAAAATGGGGGCTGTTTTTAGAGACAAGCACACTAACACATGAGGCATACAGGGCTGTATTCCTAGGGCTTTAGTGATCCTTTAATTGAATACATTTCTGCTTCCTGACCCTTTATACCTTCTCTCCCTTTTAAAGGACCACTCTAGGCACCCAGACCACTTCAGCTTAATGAAGTGGTCTGGGTGCCAGGTCCCTCTAGGATTAACCCTTTTTTTTATAAACATAACAGTTTCAGAGAAACTGCTATGTTTATAAATGGGTTAATCCAGCCTCTAAAGCCTCTAGTGGCTGTCTCATTGACAACCGCTAGAGGCGTTTGCGTGCTTCTCACTGTGAAAATCACAGTGAGAAGACGGCAGCGTCCATAGGAAAGCATTATGAATGCTTTCCTATGAGACTGGCTGAATGCGCGCGCAGCTCCTGCCGTGTATGCGCATTCAGCTGAAGAGGAGGAGAGGAGGAGGAGAGCTCCCCGCTCGGCGCTGGAGAAAGGTGAGTGTTTATCCCCTTCCTCTCCACAGAGCCTGGCGGGAAGAGGTCCCTGAGGGTGGGGGCACCCTCAGGGCACTATAGTGCCAGGAAAACGAGTATGTTTTCCTGGCACTATAGTGGTCCTTTAACCTTCCCACCCCAAATTGGTTAACAATACAATAAGAAGTGTGTAGTTTAAACAGTTTTGGTGCTTAAATTGAAGATAATCTCAATTATCCCTCTACCACCATGATTTTTTCCCCATAAGTGTTACAAAGGCCTATCTTTTCCTGTACAACTTTTTCATTTCCCCCATAACACTTTGAAATGAGTTAATAGGAATTAGATAATTTATTTTATTTTTTTACATTTCTATTTTATTAGAGTTATACACATAGTATACATCCGTGGCCATATATGTAAGAGATCAACACTTAAAGAGTACTTTAAGGCTATGTATGGTTCAGCAAACATAGTTATAACAAAGGAGCGTATAAAAAGACCATAGTGGTGATTGTGTTCGTCTATGGGTTGTGTACAATAGTAGGGAATTAGCTAAATTAAAGTGTTGATAGAACTGTCAAGCTAAATGTGCTGGCCCTATGCAACCATTATAATCTGTGTTAGGAATACAAATTTGTATTCCTAACACTATAGTGCCCTCTGGTCCTTCTCTCCCTTGCAGTCCCCCCTCTGGCTCATGAATGGTTAAAAAAACCTTTATTTACTCACCCGATTCTAGCGCAGATGTGCCTCGGCGCTGGGTCAGCAATTCACCTCCTCCGACATTATCCGATAGGGTGTCCTAATGCCTATGGCAGTAAAAAGTCAAACTGTTTTAAAATAGTTTGACTAACTTACATTGGGGGTGTTCCAGGGCACTTCTGGCACCATAACCACTAAAACAAGTCATACGCTTTCTGCAGTGCTTACATATAATATTAAAAAAATAGCTGAGTGCATTTGTAAGTTACACAAACAACAAGCTAAGGCATCTGACAAACAGAGGAGCCACAAATATGGAAATTGTATGATGTATTTATATAAGTAACAATATACGACATTTGAAAGGGTTAAATAGCGGCATTTGAGATATAGTTTTCAATCCATTACCTAAAAATGCGTAATGGATCAATTATATGCATAATATAACCTTTCACGAACAAGCAGTTGCTTTTATTTTATTTGAACACTGTTTACTTAATAATGAGATGCAATTAAACAAATTTACTTTTTTTATATATTTATTTGCAATTCAAGTTTTTGTTGAGGGTTTTCAAAAAACATCAGATCAAGGAGACAGCCTCCAGAACAAGCATAATATATGTCAATAGAGGAAAACAATGAACATTTGTCATAAGCATGTATTACAATCATTCCGCTTAATGATATTCCGACCCTAGTGTGAAACACATGTAGGTTATAAATCAACAGCAGGTGTACAATTCCAAAGAGAAAAGGAGAAAGGAGATGGGAGGCAGGGAGGGGGGGAAGGGGAGAAAGTGAAAAAGGAAGGATGGAGGGAGGTGTCACGATTTGGGGAACCCAACACGCTGGCACACACACACAGAAAAGGTGCCGTACCGGACCTTAGAGTGGCCGGGCTAAGCACGCTAAGAATAGTCAGGAGACAAGCCAAGTAAAGGGAGCCAGAAAACGGGAGAACGAGAAACAAGCCGAGGTCAAAGGAGTGGAGAAGACAGGAAAATCGGAATAACGAGCCAAATAATCGGTAACCAGAGAGCAAGACGAGAACACTACGCTACAGGTATCACAAGACCACAACAGGGCACTGAGGGACAGGAAAGGTAAGTATAAATACCCTTGGTTTAATTCTGATTGGATAACTTCCAATCAGAATTAACAATCACACGTGGGGGATATCTATACCTCCCACTGTGATTGTGGTACTGTTCCTTTAACGCCGGGTCACTCACGTGACCCCGGCGTTTACATAGTTCAGTGACCTCCCAGCATGCAGCGTTATACATGCTGCTGCTGGGGGGCGTGGAGGACGCGGGCGGCGAGCGGCAGAGAGGAGACGCCGCTCGCCGACAGGTAAGCAGAGGGGAGACCGCGGGCGGCGATGGACTGAGGGTGAGTGCTGCAAGTGGCGTGCAGCCTCCCCTCCTAGCCGCCCGCGGATCCCTGACAGGAGGGAAGCATGGAAGGAAGGAAGAGTGGGAGTGACGGAAGGGTAGAAAGGAAGGAAATGAAATAAGGAAGGAAGGAAAGAAGTAAGAAATGAAGGAAGCCTCTCGTAATGAACAGCTAGGTGAGAAAACCTTCCAGTGACTAGCAATATTAAATCTTGTAGCAGTGGAATCGCTTTATATTAACTTGTGTACTTAGATTTGTTATTCTTAGAGGGCACACTTACCACCATGACGGTATGGCTCATCCTCCAGTTTTCCATCAAAACATTTTGTGAAAATCTGTCCAACCTTGGATGGCAGTGATCATTGGTGTATTTGGGATTTGTACTGCCCTAGGCATGATGGACACCCCTTAATTTAAATTTGTCCCACCCTGTCCTGTCAAGGCCACACCTCTTCTTGTTAAAGACTAACACACACTTTGATTGACAGACACACACTGACACACTCTCAGACACACACTCAGACACACACTGACAGACACGCACACACTCCCTCACAGACACACCCTGACATACACGCACAGTCATTCAGACACACACTGACAGACATAAACACACACTCACTCACAGACACACACTGACAGACATACATACACCCGCCCACCCACATTCACTGACAGACACACACAAACACACTGACAGACACACACACACTCACTGACAGACACACACACACACACATTCACACACACACTCACTGACAGACACACACACACACATTCACACGCACACACACACTCACTGAAAGACACACGCATTCACACACACACTCACTGACAGACACACACACACACACACACATTCACACACACACTCACTGACAGACACACACATTCACACGCACACACGCCCTCACTGACAGACACACACACACACACTCACTGACAGACACACATGCACACATTTTCCCCTTAACACTCATAAATTATAATTTTTTTAATTTTAACTTATATCCACCCAGCCTCCCTACCTTGGGGAGAGCTGGGTGGATTCTTTACCTGGGGTCCAGTGGGACTGTTGGCTGGGCTGCTGTTCTGCTAGGGCTGCTGGACAGTGCAAAGTAAGCAGTGAGGGAGCTGTGATCTTCTTGCTCAGCTCCCTCGCGCTGCTGAGTGATGGCAGGAGCCGAAGTGACATCATATTCTGGATCCTGGCATCACTGCAGTGCGCACGAGAGAGCAGAGCAGGGAGAGCTCACAAATCAGCGCTCCCTGGCCA